GGAGTTCCAGTTGAAGGAGACATTGGTTGGCCAGTTGCAGAAACCTTCATGATGCTTGCTTACAAATACAATATACCTGCAACAAACAATCATGGTGTTAAATGGGGAGATTGTTTATTGAATAAAACAACGCAGACTTTATGTCCTATGTTACCAAATCATATAAACATTGCTTCACAACTTAAGAAGTAGTTTTCTAAAAACATTTTGGGTCTTAATTCCTGACATTGGATTAACATGAACATACTGGATAGGAATAGTAGTAATTGTCTCATACTTTGCTCCAAAGTCTTCAAATAGTTCCGCCCCTGGGTTGGCATTAAAGATTTCAGTGCACACAAAATTCACCAACAATGTAAATGAACACTGACTTCATGCCGTGTTACCAATTCATATGAACATTGCTACTCACATTAACGAAGTATTTATCTAAACGTGTTTTAAGTCTTAATGCTTGACATTTGATTAACAAGAATATACTGAATAGGAATAATAGCAATCATCTCATACTTAGCTCCAGCATCTGCAAATAGTTCCGCCCATGTGTTGGCATCATAGAATTCAGCTGTAAAATCTTGAGCAAAATCTGCATAGGTCCAGTCTGGTCTATAGTTGTTCTTCATGAATTCTACCTTGCTAGCTTGCTTCTTCCCCTGCCATTCTTCCCAGAACCACTCAGAACCAAAACTTGGTACTGAGAACACTCCCCAGTGGATGAAGATTCCAAGTTTAGCTTCATCGTACCATGGAGGAAGGGGGGCGGGAATCTATGGAAGCCCAGTTTGGTTCATAGCGAACTTCTGGAATATCTTCTTTGTGTAAAGCACTTGCTTGGATAGTTACAAGGATGGTTAGGACAAGTGTACCAGCCTGAAGGAGAGTCATGTTGACTGTGGTATCATTTATTGTTGTTACGATAAGAGAGTGACTGATATCATTTCTAGATATGTTGGTGTAATCGGGGACAAGGTCATGATGATGATTATTTTGTCTGTGCATGATGTGGTCATGTGTATCAACCAGAAGACTCAACTGAAAATGTTGGATGGTTTGTTATTAATGCTGCAATATTCCAGCTATATTCTAGGTGTATGGCTGTGATCTGTAAATAATCGAGGCTGGACCAGACAATCCAGTGATCAACATCAAGAGCATCACTCTATGAAATTGGATACAATGACATGTAGCAACCAAGTCAGCAAGCCTGACCACCCGATCCCATTAGTTGCCTCTTTCAACAAGCGTGGGTTGACCAATTCTGACCTCGATTCTATGGAGACTACGTGTTTTACTATACCTATGACACAATAAAGTTACATGTCTAAATAATTATGCTGACAAATATATGTTACATTTTAGAGTATTATTTCAAGTACACTTTTTTGTTCAGTGGAAAAGTTTTAATGTTTGAAATTTGTACAAATATCTTGCCCATTGAAGATCTAAAGGAACTTGACATGTAGTATATGCAGTGAAGTTTACTAAAGCATGTTTCTGTGTTTCTAATGATTCCCAGGTACGGTGGGGTAGCCTAGTGGTTCACTAGTTCACTCATCATGCTGAAGTACTGGGTTCAATTCCACAAATGAGTCCAATTTGTTAAGCCCATTTCTGGTGTCTGCCGCTGTGATATTGCTGGAATGTTGCTAAAAGTGGCAAACAAATAAGCTTACTCACTCATTCATTCTAATGATTCCATTACCCATTACAAACAAACAAAACTTAGGCCAGCTGACTATTGGACTATCAAATGTCTCACAAGGTAACCTCGTGGCTGAAGCATTCACTTGTCATAGCAAAGACCTGGATTTGATTTCCCACATGGGTACATTGTCTGAAACCCATTTCTGGTCTCCCCTGCCATGAAAGTGGAAAGTTGCTGAAAAGCACTCATTCTTACCAACAGTCGATTAAAGTGTTTCTGAGACTGAATATACTTTCAGGCTTTCATCATATCAACTATAAGATGTGTGTTGTGAAATAAAGTGTTCATGACTGCCATCACCGTATGTGCAGCTTGTGCAGTTTGTTGTGTAACACAACCTGGATGAGATTAACTGAAGTTTGTTTTGTTGATGTCCTTTTTGAAAGGTCAACTCATAATTTTTGTTCAAACTGTAGAAAGGAAAACAAATGACCTTTTGGGCAGCCTTCTGCAGCAGGCCATTTGTAAAATATACTGCATGGATCAGTAAACAATGTCTGTATGATGCACACAAAGTTTATGAGAAACTTTTTATACTTTTTCGCACAAGACAAAAGATTTGCTAATCAACCCTTTCTATAACTCATATTGACATCATTAAAAGCATGGTTTTGAGATGCTCTTGTATAAACCAAGGTTTTGAAGTTGATCCATTAACATATCCAGTCTGGTTAAGAACCTCATGTATTACACCCAAGTGCAGTGATAAGTGAATAATATGGGCCTATGTTCATCTGAATGCTTGTTGACCGCCTCCATGGTGTAGTGGTTCGAGCGTCCACCCAGAGAGCGGAAGGTCGCAGGTTCGATCCCCGACCGCGTCATACCAAAAGACGTTTAAATATGGTACTTGTTGGTCCCTGCCTGGCGCTCGGCATTAATGGGTACAACAAGGACTGGTCGGCTCAGAGTCAGTATAATGTGTCTGAGTGGGGTATTCATGCTTCATTGCGGCATGGTATCTCAGTGGGCTAGCACTATAAAACCAGCTTAAGTCTGGGCTAGTACAAGCAGCCGCACATACACATACACACGCATGCACGTCGTCATATGAGCGAATATTCTCAAGCACGACGTTAAACCCAATTTCACCTCACCTCACCTGCATGCTTGTTTGTTGCATCAGCACATTGTTTGGAGTATGATAAGTTTCTAACCATGACCTATACGTCTCCATATTTGGACTACCATTAATAGGTGACCTTGTGTTAGTGTCCTATCAGAATATCAACTCTACTTGAACTACAGAGCTTAGAAAGAATGAATACGTGAAATCCAGGATGATGGAATGTCGGTGGTCATGGGAGATAGCATAGTGGTCTGGTGAACACAAGATATCATATTTGACTTGAATGTGTGTGTAATTGTGTACATGAATCAAACAAATCCTGCTGCATTTAATATGTCTGTTTGAATTACTTCTTCAGATCATCTGAAATTCATGCTTTTAATGTTCTCTTATATGAAAAGCGATGATGAACCATCACATTACTCGCTCAGCTCATTCCATGGAAGTAAATGTTACATGGGAGTTTCTAATAAATAATTATTCCATTCACAACGTGTGCATTTTGTGTAATCACGCCAAGAAGTGATGCACATTAAGGCAAGAATTTATGGATGTCATTCACGTAATGAAGGAGTATGAATATACTCTGAAACGTCGTGTATTTAAAAATATAGAAGTTGACATCCATAAATTCTTGCCGTGTTTTTCATGTCAGGAACAGCTATGTGCAAAATGTTGGAAGTTAGAACAAGACAGAGCATTGCAGCACAAGCTCTTAATATCTTAAAGTTATCATACGAATGATGAACCATCACATTACTCGCTCAGCTCATTCCATGGAAGTAAATGTTACATGGGAGTTTCTAATAAATAATTATTCCATTCACAACGTGTGCATTTTGTGTAATCACGCCAAGAAGTGATGCACATTAAGGCAAGAATTTATGGATGTCATTCACGTAATGAAGGAGTATGAATATACTCTGAAACGTCGTGTATTTAAAAATATAGAAGTTGACATCCATAAATTCTTGCCGTGTTTTTCATGTCAGGAACAGCTATGTGCAAAATGTTGGAAGTTAGAACAAGACAGAGCATTGCAGCACAAGCTCTTAATATCTTAAAGTTATCATACGAATGATGAACCATCACATTACTCGCTCAGCTCATTCCATGGAAGTAAATGTTACATGGGAGTTTCTAATAAATAATTATTCCATTCACAACGTGTGCATTTTGTGTAATCACACCAATTTTTGTGCAATTGGTTTTCATGATGTGCATGTGAATTTGGTCAAGAAGTAGATTGGTATTTACAGTGAAACATGTGGTTTTCATGATGTGCATGTGAATTTGGTCAAGAAGAAGATTGGTATTTACAGTGAAGCATGTCAGTGTGTTGCTGTACATTGCAGTCAATGAAAGTTGTTCTGATATTGTTTTGAACACAATTAAATGTCGTAGAGTATTTGAATGGCATTTAGAAGTTTTACACATGAAGGCAAGAATTTATGGATGCCAACTAAAATATTCATGTGACACTTCTGCTTATGCTTTTGTTGTACTTGCTGACACATCTAACTGCATCATCTCCATGTTGATGTTGTATGGAGTCTGTGAATGGTATATAGAAGTGATGCACATTAAGGCAAGAATTTATGGATGTCATTCACGTAATGAAGGAGTATGAATATACTCTGAAACGTCGTGTCTTTAAAAATATAGAAGTTGACATCCATAAATTCTTGCCGTGTTTTTCATGTCAGGAACAGCTATGTGCAAAATGTTGGAAGTTAGAACAAGACAGAGCATTGCAGCACAAGCTCTTAATATCTTAAAGTTATCATACGAATGATGAACCATCACATTACTCGCTCAGCTCATTCCATGGAAGTAAATGTTACATGGGAGTTTCTAATAAATAATTATTCCATTCTCAACGTGTGCATTTTGTGTAATCACGCCAAGAAGTGATGCACATTAAGGCAAGAATTTATGGATGTCATTCACGTAATGAAGGAGTATGAATATACTCTGAAACGTCGTGTATTTAAAAATATAGAAGTTGACATCCATAAATTCTTGCCGTGTTTTTCATGTCAGGAACAGCTATGTGCAAAATGTTGGAAGTTAGAACAAGACAGAGCATTGCAGCACAAGCTCTTAATATCTTAAAGTTATCATATGAATGATGAACCATCACATTACTCGTTCAGCTCATTCCATGGAAGTAAATGTTACATGGGAGTTTCTAACTGATGTGATTTTTTACATATACAGACAGCGGAGATTAAACCAGAATTTATTTACCTGTGGTATACAGTCTTGACAATGAAGATTTGTGTTCTACCAATCAATTCCACTGTCAGATAATTACAGTCCAACTATCAGAAGTATCAAGTTTATAACCAAGAAGGAAAACTTATATGTTCTCTTTATTTTTTCTCTCTGTTCATGGCAGGAATTGATCTATATCAATATCTTATTCTTTACTCTAGCCACTGTCTTACGTACTCTGTGTACTGGTAAACATGACTGCAAAGTGAAATGATATAAAGTCCAATCATCAAAGAGAATTAAGTGTACGCTATTGGTGTCTCCCAGTGTTTCAGTTGGTGATGTCAGTAAGTTTGAAGACCCAGCCCCACTGACATGGCATCTGGTTGACAGGGATGGCAGGAACGTTGATTGTCATCCTACCAGATGACCGCTTGTCCCAGGTGAACTGGCCCTGGTATCCTAGAAGGGTGACCGTTGTGCCAGAAGAGGGCACTGGGGCACCAAGGGCAAGGTTATTTGTGGTTCCGTTAGGCCAAGAAAATATGGTAGCATAGACACTACCTTCATTCTGTGTGTACCTGGAAATGTAAATCATTTTTCAAATCGTAAAAGGTTTATCAGATATACTGTTAAAATGAAGGATTAAACTTTGCTGCTGTAAACATACATTATTTTTATGTGTATTGTTTTAATGCATGGAGTCTTAAAATGTGTCAGTAGGGTTATGTAAGAGGCGTAGATTTCATTTTAGAGTGTTTTTGAATGATAAAGATGTTTTCATGATCTGTGATGTGCTCTTCAATCTATGAAAGTGATTCTGTGATATGGATGCAATAATTATTGCATTTCAAAAACATTCACAAGAAAAATATGCATTCTTCCTCACAAGAAAAATATTCTTTCTGGCAAATCCAACATGGCCCCAACACACAGAAATCAGTAAGGGACACTGTGAAGGCCACGAGATTTGTTTCTCGGTCATGTACTGTTTACTCACATGCTATCAGTTTCATTAGGTTGTCATGTCATATCATTGTTCTGGTGGTGGGGGTGGGGGGTGGGGTTTTAGCCTAGTGGTTAAAGTGTTGACTTGTCATGCCAAATGACTGGGTTCAATTCCCCACATGGGTACAATGTGTGAAGCCCATTTCTGGTGTCCCCTGCTGTGATATTGCTATAAGCAATGTAAAACCCAACTCACTCACACTCTTTCACATTGGGTCTGGATGGTGTCTCTTTGGATATGTCACCTAACCTGACCACAGTGGATTCCATGTCAATGTTAAGAGGCGATTTACTGGATCAAGGGGTCAGGTTTGCTGACTTAGTTGACACGTCATCATATCTCAGTTGTGTAGAGTGTTGCTCATGATGTTGATTCTGGTCCGAATTGATTATTTACCGAAAACTGCCATACAGCTTCAATACTGCTGAGTGTGGTGTTGAACAACAAACAACGGTACAATTTGTGAATCAGTCCTTTGATTTGTATTAACTAAGGTGGAGGTCATGTTTCCATGATGACTACATTTAGTACATACAGATACCAGGAATGGGTTCCATGTATATTTTTGTGCAGGAGCGTAATTTAGGTGACCTAAAATAATATACTGTGTACGTCAAACTGTGCTTACCATACACACGAGGAATGACAGTATCGTTCTGATGGGAAACAAACAAACAAACATATCAGTTTGTGAGTCAGAGTGCTTTGATTTGTATTAACTAAGGTGGAGGTCATGTTTCCGTGATGCCTACATTTAGTATATACAGATACCTGAAATGGGTTCCATGTATATTTTTGTGCAGGAGCTACTATAGGTGGCCTTAAATGATATATTGTGTGCATCATACTCAAATACAAAAGTCACCTGGAGTTCTTATCATGCTCACCAAACACGAGGAGTGACGGTATCGTTCTGATGGGACCAAGGTTTGCTGCTGTAGATAGCTTCTCCATTGACCTTCAGCCACTGTCCCAGGCCTCGTAGTCTCTCCTCATAGATCGGTGTAATCATGCCATACTTGGTAGGACCAACATTGATAAGCATGTTGCCACCACAGCTGTTTGAGGGAAATGAAAATGTCATTAATGCTATTCATTCACACATTTCAGAATGTTATCTTATAATATCTTGCAGTGTGAGATTTGTCACCTTTAGTTCAAAAGTGATCTACTTCAAACCGTTCATTATTTTGTTCAAAACTCTGATATTTCATCTTATTATCTGATCTTATTATGTACGTTTGTTCATGTCCATAATTATATTATGTCATGTCATGTGACCACTCTCATAGTGATATTTTGCAAATATAGTATTCTTCTCCTTTTGATGGATTGGTTTTCAGTTGAACAGAGAATTGATGGCATAGGCTTTCAAAAGATGCTGAGATATGTTTTGATTAAAATATCAATGAAACAATAGAAAACAAAATGATAAAGGAAGGAAAAGTTATAAGCAATGACAGACAAAACAAGAACATTCTTCTCAGTGCCCTGACCGCCTCAGTGGTGTAGTGGTTAGAGCGTCCGCCCGGAGAGTGGTCGTTTGTTTGATTCCCGGCCATGTCATACCATATGGCACTTGCTGGTCCCTGCCTGGTACTTGGCATTAATGGGTACAACAAGGACTGGTCGGCTTGGAGTCAGTGCAGTGTGTCTGAGTGGGGTATTCATGCTTAACTGCGGCATGGTATCTTATGAGCTAGCACTATAAAATCTGGGCAAGTACAGGCAGCCACACATACACACGCATGCACGTCGTCATATGAGCAAAATATTCTTAAGTGTGACAAGCCCCCATTGCACCTCACCTCCCCTGTCAGTGCCCTAATAATGTCAAAAAATGCTAGTTGGACAATCATGACAGTCCACCTGAATAGTATGAAAGGTCACTGATCATTGAATTCCAGACGAACCAGTATGGCTTTAAAATAATAGAAAATAATTGATTCAATGAATTTAATAATGGTAATCAGTAATAAAATTATATACTGCAATTGACTTTCCAGATACCTTACAGTTTCCACAAAGGTTTCAATAATATCCTCCATGGTGAGAAAATTTTCCAAGACGGCTTCTCGTCGGAACCCCCAGGACTGCTTGTCTATTGTCATGGCATTCTCCCACTTCCTATGCTGAAGTGTGCCTGAAGTTGTCAGTTAAGGTATCAGAAATTCAGTAGTTCTTGATCTGTTTGATTGGCATTTTAGAAGTTTTAGAAGTTTCACACTTTCTTGACAATGGTATAAGAATTTATACCGAAACGTCACATCATAATATAATATATAAGTTATAATCCATAAAGTATCATTCTCAGTAGTTCTTTATTAAAATGTTAAAGATCGATTTTTATCCAGATTCAGACAATAAATGAGTAGGGGTTTAGGAAAAAAAAGTTGGTACTGTCCCAGGGATTAGGAAGAATGGGTGGAGTAGAGAGTGAAGTACATTGTATACACTTGAAAACAAGGAATTATGATCAGTTGTGTGGTGGGACACAGAAGGAGTCAAGTGAGGGAAAAGGAAGAAGATGAGCTTACCTGGATTGTACCTGTCTGAACAGGTGAGGAATCCCCCATGATGACATACTATACCATTGCTTCCCCAACGGTCATTCGTCACCACAGTATCCTTGACAGGACTGAAGATGAAGATGCTTTTGTGTATTTTCAGATTTACTATTCATCATGAAGGCACTGAAGAAAGGTGATAGTTTACTGTTCACACAGTGAATGATTTCCACTTACATATATCTATAAAACTGACCTGTCATTGTACAGCCAGGCAAGAAACTTTGTAGCATCCCAGTATGTGTCTGGTCCTGCAGATCCATCAGACCATACAATGTCGGGCTTGTAGATGTTGACGAGCTCGTACAACTCTGGCAATGTCTTGGTCTGAATATGACAACACTGACATTACTGCCATTTCTAAAACTGAATAATTGTTCATAAACTTAAATCTTAAACTTGATAGAACCAACATAACCTTTTATGTTCTCTTGTTGATGAAAATGGACAGAATTGATGAGTCAAGTATCAGGTATCCCCAACTGATAGTAAAGCAGCCATCTGGGCAGATGCACTGATAAGAAGTTGGCAGCTGAGTTTAATTGGGGAAAGATCAGAAGACATCATGTATCTAGGATTCCAAAAGAGCCACACTTGGCTACCTCTGAATGATCAGACCATGAATAGTCAATTATATGTGAAACCGCTTGGGCGACTATGTGAGAATATCAATGCTATAATGCCATTAGATAATCAGTGAAGATGTGTTGCTTCACTAGGACAGTTCACCTGAACATTAATCTGTTGTTGCCCTGGCTGAAATGTATGACTGGCTTTGAACTCATGGAGTTTCCTTCAATTCATACTCATACATTAGATTTCCAATTCTTCCCAGACTTGAAGAAAGAGGATTGTTTATACCATGTGGAAAAACATTTAGACAACTTCAGGATAAAGACAGTGCGGCATCATTGGCAGGAATGTGGATTTCAGGGGGATCTTCTTGAGCTGTTCAGAGTTAGGCTCAGAAGGTTTCAGACACCTTTCTTAATGAAGCCATGCAGATAAATATAGTTTAAACCTTGGTGGGGTGTTTGCTATCAATGGCAACAACTTTGTGTATTTTTATGCATGGACATGTCATACATTAGGAAAGTAGAGGGATAACAGGAATACACTTACCAGCACAAACTCCTGAGTTGTGAAGTTGGTGGCAGCATCCTTCAGATAGATGGGGTTGAACCATTCAAACAGAGAATGATACACACCGAAGTGGAGGTCTGTCTTGCTGCGGATGGCCTGGGCCAGCTCACCTGGCAACAAATGTATTCATTAGTGAATGTGTCTGTTTGTTGTTTAATGCCACAGTCAGCAAGAGCTATATCAAATGTGTAAAAGACAATCATGATTCAATCATCCATCCTATTGGGTCACTGAGCTGGAGTTTGACCATCTGAGACCTTACTCTCATGGACGAACATTGGTTGTGAGGGACCTGTTCTTAGGTTGAGTCCTCATGGATTAGTGACTTACTATTGGATAGTTAGTAAAAGGAAGTGCTGTAACATATTCTCAGTTGTCATCACAAGTACAGGATGCCCTCTGTAGGACCTTCAGTATGATTCTTCCAAACTACCTGGCAGAACATAACACTGACCACTATATCCACATGAAGAGTTGACTATTGTTGGTCATTAAACTAACTGGGCACTTTGCTGTATCAACTGCAGTATAGCGTGTTCCTTACCCACAATGTCTCTTCTTGGTCCAACCATCTGGGAGTTCCAGTTGAAGGAGACATTGGTTGGCCAGTTGCAGAAACCTTCATGATGCTTGCTTACAAATACAATATACCTGCAACAAAGAATCATGGTGTTAAATGGTTGAATGTTCAGGCTGGTGCACCGAACACTCCATGTGCAAAAGTCAAAGAGTGTAAGCTGAATATAAATGCAATACAAATTTCATGTCTTACATCACCGATTCATATAGATACTGCTCCCACAACTAAAGAAGTAGTTTTAAAAAGAGGTTTCATGTCTTGATTCTTGACATTTCATTAACATGATTATACAGAACAGGAATAATAGCAATCATCTCATACTTAGCTCCAGCATCTGCAAATAGTTCTGCCCATGCGTTGGCATCATAGAATTCAGCTGTAAAATCTTGAGCAAAATCTGCATAGGTCCAGTCTGGTCTATAGTTGTTCTTCATAAAGTCGGCATATTTTGCTTCCTTCTCTTTCGGATCCGTCCCCTGCCAGCGTTCCCAGAACCACTCAGAACCAAAACTTGGAACGGAGAACACTCCCCAGTGGATGAAGATTCCAAGTTTAGCTTCATCGTACCATGGAGGAAGGGGGCGGGAATCTATGGAAGCCCAGCTTGGTTCATAGCGAACTTCTGGAATATCTTCCTTGTGTAAAGCACTTGCTTGGATAGTTACAAGGATGGTTAGGACAAGTGTACCAGCCTGAAGGAGAGTCATGTTGACTGTGGTATCATTTATTGTTGTTACGATAAGAGAGTGACTGATATCATTTCTAGATATATTGGTGTAATCCTGGACAAGGTCATGATGTTGATTAATTTGTTTGCCCATAATATGGTCATGTTTATCAACTGGCAGACTAAATTTGTATGTTCCGACTGAATGTAGCCTCATTTGAGCTGGCAATGATGAGAAACATTCACTTAGTGCACGGATTAGTAAATAATGTCTGTATTACAGATTTTTTTCCTTTTACTTCCACAATGTTTATGAGAAAGTTTTAAACACCTTCATAAAGATTAGCTTTCCACCCTTTTTAACTCATATTGACATTGTCCAAAACATGTTTTTACTATGTTTCAAAATCTGGAATTTGTAATGCTCTTTTATAAACATAGGTTTTGATCTGAAACATCTACTTTTCAGAGTAGGTAAGAACCTCATGTATTACACACCACAGTGATCGGTTAATGATATACAGGGGCGGATCCAGGAGAGGGGAAGAGGTGTTTTTTTGCAGAGGTGTACATCCCCCCTCTCCCCTGAGGAGCATTTCCTTTGGACTTCCCCCTTCTCCAAAATCCTGGATCCACCCGTGATTTACGAACCTGTTCTCCTCTGAATGCTTGTTGCTGTATCAGCACATTGTTAAGGGTATTATAAGTGTCTAACCATGACCTATATATTTCGGTATATTTGGACTCACAGTTAATGGGTGACCTTGTGTTACTGTCCTATTAGAATATAGACTGTACTTGAACTACTAAGGCTAGAAAGATGGCATGCCTGAAGTAGCGGGATGACAAAATAGCAGTCATGTGAACACCAGATGTTGGATTTGACCTGAATATGCTTGTATAGGTGCCTGGAACAAATCATACTCACATTATGCTGAATTCAGAAAATAATTAACAATAAGTCTTTATTCAATATGTCACAGCATTTTTTATGTCTATATATAAGACATGACACTTGTTAACAGCACCTCAGAAATTCAGGAAGATGTCTTTTGTAGTTGCAAATAGAATCCTCCATTGTTTTTATGGTCATTCATTATTTTTTTTGGGTGGAAAAACATTAAATTTGTAAAATCTTTGAGGATCTACTCCTGGGTGGTGGGGTATCCTCATGGATAAAGTGTTCACTCATCACGCCAAAGTCCCGAGTTCAAGTCCCCACATGGACATGATGTCCACTGCCATGATATTGCTTGAATATTGCTAAAATCAGTGTAAAACCAAACTCACTTGCAGAAGTTGTTCATCCATATATTGTTATCCTTCCTTACTGCTCCAACTTCTAAATGCCTCTCAAAGAAGTCACTCACTCACTCTTTAAAGTCAGCCTTTAGTGAAAGCAAAGCTGGTCTAATAGATTTCCCTGACTTCATTATTTAAATGAGACATTTTTTTTTACAGATTCTAGTACGATTGTCAACAGCCTTTCAGTGTCAGTTTTTCAGCAAGAAATTTGCTTTATGTCATTTTAACTGAGAATTTACTTTCTTCTTACAATTGAAAAGAAAACTGCAGTAAATACCATTACACATAATTAAAAACATGACTATCAGAACTGTTCATTTTTTTTCAAAACTGTCTGCTCTCTGATATGATCCTTGATTATCAGATGAATTATATATTTGTTTAATCAGGGTGAATACACTGGACCCATTCACCATAGCTTGTTGACAGGAGTGATATCTGTCCCAATTGCGCAGATCGATGCTCATGATGTTGATCACTGGATTGTCTGGTCCAGACTCAATTATTTACAGACCGCCACCATATAGCTGGAATATTGCTGAGTGTGGCGTAAACTCAACTCACTCACTCACTTCAAACTCATGTTAATAACTTGATCCTTTACCAGTACATGCTTCAGGTTATTCAAATCTGAAGCAATAATTAGGCCATGGTGGTGAATACGTCCACAGTATTTACATAGGGAGACGAAACACGTCATTTGAAAATCTAATGACACATTCCCATATGCACAGGAATTATTGGATAAAATGGGAGTTAATTTTTTGATTCTGACATTTTCATGAGTACCCTATGTGTTTATGAACAATGTTGAATAATGATTACATCAGGTAGAAAAAAATGGTCATCACACCCATTCTGATTGAAAAGATGAAGAATTCTGAGAGACTGAAAAAACATTATGTGGAATTAAAATATATATACAAATATAATTTCAGTGCTTATATTGAGTATTCTACTCTTAATGTGAAAAAAATGAATGTATAATTTCAAACACTAATATTAACTAATTTGAAAATTCCATTTTGTTTCACATAAGAAAAACATATTTTTTTCAGGTACAGTTTCTCATTAAGCAATAAATATAATTTATAACATTCTATAAAAGTCAAATCCCATAAGTATTATTCATACACTTCAGTTTGTTGTTGCAACATTTCAGTGTCACATATTGCAGTGATGAATAAAAACATATAATAGATTGTATTACTTCAGTTGCTCTTATTATTATTGGATATTTATATAGCGCACATATCCACGCACTAGTGCATGCTCAAGGCACTGGTATTTTTTCCCTCATAGCATGTCAATCTCAACAGCACATCTTCTTATCAATCTCAGCTCCCTGGGGAGCATACAACTCTTGCAGCCAGTAGGCACACTGAGTTATTGCGGCTTTCCCATCCTTACGAGGTACCCATTCACAGCTGGGTGGACTGGGAGACATAGTCACAGTACTTTGTCCAAGTTTACTGCACATTGCTGTAACCGCAACTTGGTGTTTGCATGTATTCATGTGGCCACCATCTGGTAATATACCAACGGAATCGTGGGTTCTTTTAAGTGCACAGGGTTGTGTACTGTACACTAGGGGTTGTGACAACACTGAAAGAGTCTGCACAGAAAGTTTACTCCAAAGTTTTTACACCTGGTCACAGGTGGTCTCGATTCTGGCACCTCATGCTTGCTGGATCACTAGCCTGGCGCCAGCTCACCCATCGCACCAGTTTTGGTATGCATATCTCTGATCCATTGCCTGTTGGTGTTGAGTGAGTGCTATGGTGACTGTGAGTGCTGCAGTCAGTGATATTCCAGCTATATCACAATCACTTACTGAGAAAGTGTAATCCCAAGTATAACCTATGTTACATTTGACCAATTTATAAATGGCATTGTCTATTCAATATGTTACCACAGATTCAGCCCGATAATACAGAAAGTCATTGGGCTCCTTTTTATCATATTTCATGAATAATAATGTTCATTTCAGTGACTAGATGTTAGTCTATCATGAGTGCAGCATGCTGAATTGCACCCCTTAGGTTTGTTAGAAAATCTATAAAATTGGTTCGTAGCCCAATTCTGCCTGATTGTGTTTCTAGGTTTGTCACCCGTGAAGATCCGGGTTAGAGTTGATCTTTAGTAACCCATGCTTGTCGTAAGAGGTGACTAACGGGATCGGGTGGTCAGGCTCGCTGACTTGGTTGACACATGTCATCGTATCCCAATTGCGTAGATCGATGCTCATGCTGTTGATCACTGGATTGACTGGTCCAGACTATTATTTACAGACCGCCCCCATATTGCTAATATTGCTGAGTGCGGTGTAAAACTAAATTCACTCACTCACTCGAGGTTTGTCAGCACCAGACCCATGCTGGTGTGTTTCACCAAGGTGGTAAGCTTACCACACCTGTGTCACTGCTCACTACAGGCTTTCTTCCTGCCTCAAGCTGACATGCTGCGATGTGACTGAAATTGTGTTCAAAGCTGCATTAAACCAAACTCACTCAGCTCATTCCATGGAAGTAAATATCATATGTGAGCGTTTACCTTCTCAAACTCATGTGTCTTAAACATAGAGCCAGCAGGGATTGAAACATAATTTATTTACCTGTGACAATACAATAGTAAATTTGTATTCAACCAATCAACTCCAGATAATTACAGTCCTCTGATTATCAAAAGGATCAAGTGGAAAGTCATAATGCAATGTTGTACATTGTCTTTATATATTTTTTCTATTATTGTAGACAATTGATGTATAACCATATCTTGATCTTTACTCCAACCAGAGTTTTACATACATTGTCTACTGGTATATATGACTGTAAAGTGAAATCATTAAAGAGAATTAAGTGTCCGCTATCCGTGTCTCCAAGTGTTTCAGTTGGTGATGTCAGTAAGTTTGAAAACCCAGCCCCACTGACATGGCATCTGGTTGACAGGGATGGCAGGAATGTTGATGGTCATCCCACCAGATGACCGCTTGTCCCAGGTAAACTGGCCCTGGTATCCTAGAAGGGTGACCGTTGTGCCGGAAGAGGGCACTGGGGCACCAAGGGCAAGGTTATTTGTGGTTCCGTTAGGCCAAGAAAATATGGTAGCATAGACACTGCCTTCATTCTGTGTGTACCTGAGAAATACATCGTCTTTGTAATCATTAATGATTTATATCAGGTGTGCTAATAAAACATATCATGAATTTTTTTGCTGAAACAACTGAATATTTTGCACTTGTAATATGTCATCTAGAGGTATAGAGTCTAATTTGGAATGTTGGTATATGATGAAGATGTTTTTATTATCTGTACTCTTCTAAAATACATGATATGGATTGTATTTCCTGAACCCTCAACAGAAAATTATTACAATTTCCTTACAAATCTCACTATAAATAATTGCAAAATTGCTGATGAAGCTCACTCACTCACTCACTCACACACTCAAGTACGAAAGTGATCTGCAGCTCTTATCATGCTTACCACACTCGACGAGTGACGGTATCATTCTGATGGGACCAAGGTTTGCTGCTGTAGATAGCTTCTCCATTGACCTTCAGCCACTGTCCCATGCCTCGTAGTCTCTCCTCATAGATCGGCGCAATCATCCCGTACTTGGTAGGACCAACATTCATAAGCATGTTGCCACCACAGCTTTTAAGGGAAATTAAATCAATTCATTAATTTATTGAAACCTCTCATATTTCTTTCGCTTATCTTATTTTGCAATCTTTGTTTCAAAAGTGACCTACTGCATAGTTATATTGTGTCACATGAAGTGATCATGTTCATTGGGCTATTGTGTAATGTTAAGAAGCACACATAACATTCGTCTTTATTTCATTAAACAGATTGGTTTTCAGTTTGCCAGACATCCTGTAAATAATTCCTAAGTATAGAAGACACTGGGTTTGCAAAAATAGATACATTTTGACACTAGGTTATATGGGTTCTGATCAATGGTTTAGAGAAAGACATTTTTAAAATTCAAATGGTTTGGTAATGGGCATCATTTGTATTTGTTTTTCTTACCACCATAGCCTATAGATGAATATTTATGAACAATTTGAACCCTGGAATTAGATACCTTACAGTTTCCACAAATGTTTCTATGATTTCCTCCATGGTGAGAAAGTCCTCCAGGCTGGCTTCTCGTCGGAACCCCCACGACGTCTTGTCGATTGTCATGGCATTCACCCACTTCCTAGGCTGAAGGGTGCCTGTATTTGTAGTTGAGACATAATCAAATAAAAGTTCATTATTAAAGTTTTTAAAAATGTTTTAAACATAATTTATTGTCCAAAAGACAGAGGGATTAGACACAAGTGCACCACTTATGGTCACCTTCTCTGTTTAAAAAAAATAGATTTTGATCCAGATTTGAACAATAATATGAAGAAGAAAGTATTGTGGGTATCCTGCGAGGGATTAAGAGTGAGTGGTGGATAAGTAAATTCAAGGGAAATGTGTTACTTCGATTTTGGGGAAGAAGGAACTTGGGCACAGAAGGGACACAGGGCCAGTAAGGGAGAAGGAAGGAGTTGAGCTCCAGCTTACCTGGATTGTACCTGTCTGTACAGGTGAGGACCCCCCCATGATGGCACTTTATGTGATTGTTTCCCCAACGGTCATTCGTCACCACAGTGTCCTTGACAGGACTGAAGATAAAGATGCATTTGTGCATTTTCAGGTTTTACAATACATTGAAAAAGGTTAATACTTTACTGTTCACACAGTGAATGTCATCAATAAATATATATTCAACCTGGTGGAACAGATTCATTGATATGGATTTTAAATATACATTCAATTTCTTCAAATATGTCAAGTTCTGTATATCTAGAACACAAATCATCTTCAAGTTTGCATGAAACTATTTCACTTATTGTCTTCTTGGTATTGAGAGTCTTTTTAAATATGCTTATGTGCAACCCATGATTCAGAAAAACATAAGGTGCTGATTCATTAAAAACAAAAAAGATGAAAGGATATTGATCTGCCACCTGTGTATTTCACTGTACAGATGACAAAGAACACAAAAGACAAAAATACTGTGATATTTAGAAATAATGACATCCATGCTCCAACTCGAACTGATATTGATAGCTAAGAACATAGCATGTCTTGTCAAGAAAAGACTCTTTGAAGATTCTGGATCCCTTTCGATGACTAAGAGTTACCCACAGCTCTGCCTTTTAAACTGATTTTATCTTTAAGAAGATTTCTTTTCAGTTTACGAGTATGGTGATGGTGCAATATTGATTTTTGTCCAGGGTTCATGAAGTTCTGCAGAAAGTAGTCAGGGGAATAATTTGTCTCTTCAATTTGTCATCTTTTTCATTTTTGTTGTTGTAATTTGATTTTAAATATTAAGAACTTAATAAAATCTGCTGAGCAAGCAAATGAGCTCATGTTGCATTTTAACCTTTCAGCTGTGTTCTGCAAGGTACTGTCCAGGAGAACATAGTATGCTATGTGTGACAGGCAGGGTCTCAAGTTTCTCCATGTTGTGAAAGGTTCAGATGGAAAGAAATACGCTATAATGCTTTCACCATCCATCATGATTCATGAATCTGTGATTGTCCTTAAGTAGCATTTTAGAAGCTTGTAGCATGAAAATAGAATGAGAGTTGATGCATGGGTTTCAACTTCCAATTATGTTTTCAAAGTAATGTTTCTGTTTTGGTACAGATGTAGTTTATCAAACAGTGATCTTAGATATTGAGTTCCTCCATCAGTTTTAGTTTATTTAAATTGCTTAAGCACAGATGTACCTAAAAAGCAATGTCTTTTGCATGTTGAAGAGAGTATAAGCTGTGTGTAAAACATTTTATCATGTGCACGTCAGTTGGATGTCTTGGATTGGTGAACCAGGGACTCCCAGGTGTATCAGTCCTCAAACTCTTTCAGTTGACATGAGGTTTTATATTCTGCTTGAAGAGTGTATGTTTTAATACATGCATTCTAAAAGATTTTGCAGAGAATGTCAGCCAATTGCCTATACTGTATAAATCTGTTTTCTTGTCTTCTTCATATGCCCTATCCTGGTGATTATGTCGTATTTATCTTCGTAGAAATATATAATAAACCTTTTCAACTTTATTAACCTACAAACTAGAATCACAAGGCAGCTTGCCGGGCATTTAATGGAATATTTGGAGCAGCACATTGTTTAAATGTGAATTCTACAGGCCATTATAAGTCGTAACAGAGTCAGTGCAAAGATGCTGAACTAATAGAAGTCCCCAAACATGCATGTACATTGACAGACACATATGATGCTGAACTAATAGAAGTCCCCAAACATGCATGTACATTGACAGACACGTATGATGCTGAACTAATAGAAGTCCCCAAACATGCATGTACATTGACATTGCTGAACTAATAGAAGTCCCCAAACATGCATGTACATTGATGACACCTATGATGTGGAACTAATAGAAGTCCCCAAACATGCATGTACATTGACAGACACCTATGATGCTGAACTAATAGAAGTCCCCAAACATGCATGACAGACACCACCTATGATGCTGAACTAATAGAAGTCCCCAAACATGCATGTACATTGACAGACACCTATGATGCTGAACTGATAGAAGTCCCCAAACATGCATGTACATTGACCCAAACATGACACCACCTATGATGCTGAACTAATAGAAGTCCCCAAACATGCATGTACATTGACAGACACCTATGATGTGGAACTAATAGAAGTCCCCAAACATGCATGTACATTGACAGACACCTATGATGCTGAACTAATAGAAGTCTCCAAACATGCATGTTCATTGACAGACACCTATGATGTGGAACTAATAGAAGTCCCCAAACATGCATGTACATTGACAGACACCTATGATGCTGAACTGATAGAAGTCCCCAAACATGCATGTACATTGACAGACACCTATGATGCTGAACTAATAGAAGTCCCCAAACATGCATGTACATTGACAGACACCTATGATGCTGAACTGATAGAAGTCCCCAAACATGCATGTACATTGACAGACACATATGATGTACAGTAATCAAACAGCTGCCATATTGAAAGTCCACTGAATGCACATGAATGCATGTCCTACATTTACATTATTTAGTTTTATTGTATGTATTTGTTCCTGGATGTCATTACATAATGTTGATTCCTAAAATGGCAAAGTAGTGAGCAAATATTACCTTTTTGTATAGTTCCCATGTTTTGAATTAAACTAGAAGTCAAATTGTAGGTGTCAAGAAGTTGAAACTTAAAAGGCCCCATGGACAAACAGAGAAAAAACTCTGGTTGAGGAGACTAAACTATAAAACTAACCTGTCATTGTACAGCCAAGCAATAAACTTTGTAGAATCCCAGTAGGTGTCTGGTCCAACGGGTCCATCAGACCATACAATGTCGGGCTTGTAGGTGTTGACGAGCTCATATAACTCTGGCATTGTCTTGGTCTGAATTAGATAACATTGACATAATTTCTTAAAGTTTGAACATACAACCAATATGATTTCATATGTTCTCTTGTACTTTACAATGATGATTATGTTACGCAGTGAGAGGGATATTGCTGGAGACAAATAGCTTTAGGACATTTTCATGATTTATCTAAACATATACTGAGAGAAACAAATAAAAGATCACAGGAAAATGTAAGCATTCGTATATTATTTTCCAGTTTTCATCACCACAGCACTATTTAAAGCTGGTGATGAAAACTGGAAAATATTAAAGGAACGCTTGCATTTTCCTGTGATCCTTTATTTGTTTCTCTCAGTATATCATGCCAAACTGCCTCTTTAGGGATGCTGTTATCCTTTTCTATGGAAATATTTTGGACTTCCAATAAGGAAAGGGTTAGCTGCTTGAGGATAACTGAATTCTATACTTGATCAGACTTTGTGCAGTCTATGCATGAAAGGTGTTTCCAGAGCTTAAGTTAAGAACCATTTGTATTCATATTTTTTTCAGAAATGAAGTGGCAATTTGGTGATGTTCACATTTTCAAGCTTTTTATATATTGAAAATCAATGACTTTTGAGAACAAGTCCCAAGTAGAGTTTGTAGCCCTACATTCATATCTTTGGCTACATTCATATCTTTGGCTACATTCATATCTTTGGGAGTGGGTAGGACTGGCTGGCTGGCTGAGTTTATTTTACGCCGCTTTTAGCAATATTCCAGCAATATCACGGCAGGGGGACACCAGAAATGGGCTTCACACATTGTACCCATGTGGGGAATCGAACCCGGGTCTTCGGCATGACGAGCTAACGCTTTAACCACTAAGCTACCCCACTGCCCCGGGAGTGAGTAGGAGGAGTTTGTATTATGGTTGAAAGGTTGGTTACAAATGTGAATTTTGATGATGGTAAAGGTTATTATAAATAGACATATGTATAGGTACATATAAATTATCTAATTATTATTTTCAGATCAGGGGTAAAGAAGCTTTATACTATACTTCAGTGAAGTTTTACATTTATGAGGGGGTGGCTGAAAATTACTGTGCTTAAATATGAAGGTTGTACACTACACCCATTTTTTATTTTCATGTGTTAAGCCTAACACTTTTAAGCATTTTTGTCTGCATTTGTCAAGGCAGCATGTTTCTTCTGAAAGTGATTAAATATTCCTTGCTGGTACAAACAGACAAGATTGGATAAAGTGTCTCCAACTGAAATGTTAACTACGACAGACATCCAAGCAGACATGGTGTCAGCATTAAGGGACAATTGTCCTTCCTTGGCAACTACTGACTGACTGAGTATGGTTTGACGCCGCTTTTAGCAATATTCCAGCAACATCACGGCTGGGGACACCAGAAATGGGCTTCACACATTGTACCCATGTGGGGATTCGAACCCGGGGTCTTCGGCATGACGAGCCAACACTTTAACCACTAGGCTACCCCACTGCCCCCCTTGGCAACTAAGAGATGGGATGCAGAGTTCATAAGGGGAAGAGAGAACCTTGAAGATGGTCCAAGGTTGGATGGACCTCACCTGGGGAGACTGAAGGTTTGGGTTTTCTTGGATTTCAATGGAATCCTTCAGGTGACCTACTGTGTGAATGGTCAGATGATGAATAATGCTAAACTGTTTGCTAGTGAGAATATCAAGGTGTGTTGATTCACCAGGACAGTTCACATGTACCTGAATCTGTTGTTGCCATTGCTGCAATGCATGACTGTGGCTTTCAACTCAAGTAGCATCCCCCTTACTTACAACATTGTACATGAAGAAAGAACTGACTGGCATCCACAATGCAGGTAATGTTTTTTTTCAGTTTTGTTGTGAAGGAATTTTGATAATACCAGGATGAAGTCTTATATACCTGGGATCCAGACCCTCCAGCATTATTGGCAGGGATGTCTGGACATCAGGAGGATTATGTTGAAAAAGCAATTATCAACCAACTTCATCAATACTGTCCATTATGTTGCTGCTCAGATTGTTTCAGTCACGCCGAAGACCTGGGTTCGAATCCCCACATGGGTACAATGTGTGAAGCCCATTTCTGGTGTCCCCCGCCGTGATGTTGCTGGAATATTGCTAAAAGCGGCGTAAAACCAAACTCAGTCAGTCAGTCAGATTGTTTCAGCTGCATCTCTTATATATCCATGCAAGAAAGCAAAGTCTTGAAAGGGTGTTTGTTTATCGAGGAAAATAACCCTGTGTATTTTATGCAGAAAAATCACATACATTAAGAAAGCAATGGGATACTTATTACACAAGAATTCTCTTACCAGCACAAATTCCTGAGTTGTGAAGTTGTTAGCGACATCCTTCAGGTACAGAGGGTGAAACCACTCAAACAGGGAGTGATACAGGCCAAAGTGGAGGTCTGTCTTGCTGCGGATGGCCTGGGCCAGCTCACCTGACAACAAATGTATTCAATAGTAAATGTGAAGCCCAGTTGGTGCATCTGCTTCAACTGCAGTGATATTGCTGGAATATTGCTAAAAGCTGCGTAAAACCATACTCAATCACTCACTCACTCACTCACTCAGTGTAACCATTGGATTCATCTTGTCTCTTCTTTCTGATCCTTAGGATGATACTGATCTAATCTAATTAGTGAGTGACAGTATGTGATAAAAACCACACTGTCATTCAGGATTCAGGAGGAATGGATTTCAGGCTCACTGACTTGGTTGACACATGTCATCTTATCCCAATTGCGTAGATCGGTGCTCATGCTGTTGATCACTGGATTGATTCGATTATTTACAGACAAACCCCATACAGCTGGAATATTGCTGAGTGAGGCGTAAAACTAAACTCACTCACTCACTCACAACTGCTTAATCAACATTAAAGGTGGAATAACAAAATGCCATTATATCCACAAGTATGGAGGTTGACAAAGCAGGAGATCATTGAACTGACCAAGCACTAAGCTGTATACTTTGAAACATAGTTCATACCATATCAGGGGTGGAAATAACCCATTGCCCGACGTCCGAGTCAAGTGTTTTTTTTCTGTCGGGCAAGAAAATTTGTATATCACACTGTACCGGTGTCCAGTTGACTTTCCAATGTTAATTATGTTGTTTATTTTAAAAAATCATCAAGAAAACGTACGGTATAGTGGAAAAATTATCAGGGCAAGTGATTTTACATGTGCCACTGTTCTGGAGTACACTAGCAATTTGAAAGTTATTTCCACCCCTGCATATATATGTATCATACAGCCATCCATAATAATTCCCTTCATATAGCAGGACATCTATAGAAGCCTCTAATACACCAGCATATGATATTCTACTACATGGTGCTAAATCCACAAGCACTTTATCCTCTGCAATAGACAGCACATTGTTCCTTACCCACAATGTCTCTTTTTGGTCCAACCATCTGGGAGTTCCAGTTGAAGGAGACATTGGTTGGCCAGTTGCAGAATCCCTCATGATGCTTGCTTACAAATACAATATACCTGCAACAGACAATTATGGTGTTCAATTGGGGAATGGTCTGGCAGGTGGACTGAACACTGCATATGTAAAAATGTAAAATTGAATTAAACAACACATACTTTATATCCAAATTTACCATGTCATATTATTCACAACTAGGGAATAGGGTTGGGTATTGCCAAACTTTTCGTTGTATTGCGATATGTGTTGGCGTATTGCAATATGTATTGCAATATATTGTGAAAGTATAACACATGGGTTAAGGTTATGAAATTACTGTTTCCTTTCTTTGAAACAATGCCACTGGCCACTGTCAGAACTCAGATGTGAATGTACAAGGGTCAATTGAAAATGTTTCCAAATTGAAAACTTAGCTTTAAAGTTTACCACTCGAGAAAAAGCATCTGCAGCAGTGCCCGCCATTTTGGTTTGTTTATTCCTACAACGAGTGCTGGTACCAATTCTATTTTCTTTTATTTATATGGTTTAAAAGTCACACAAATGCAATTATATGACCAAAAGGCATTCTCAAATCTATTAATGTATGATAATATAAAGGAAATACAAATGTTATTAGTATTTTTTAGTTCATTACGAAAATTACCGATCATGGCCATGAAAATTGCCAATCATATCAGCTGAACCGGTTCGCAACAAATGTAAAGCAATATATCGTATTGTGAAGTTCGAATTGCAATATACCGGTTAACTGGTATTATCGCCCACCCCTATTAAGGAAGTAATTTTCCAAAAACGTTTCATGCCTTAATTCCTGACATTTGATTAACATGAATTTAGATAGGAATAGTAGTAATTGTCTCATACTTAGCTCCAGAGTCTTCAAATAGTTCCGCCCATGCATTGGCATCATAGAATTCAGCTGTAAAATCTTTAGCAAAATCTGCATAGGTCCAGTCTGGTTTGTAGTTCTTCTTCATGAAGTCTGCATACATGGCTTCTTTCTTTGTCCCCTCCCAGCGTTCCCAGAACCACTCAGAACCAAAACTTGGTACTGAAAACACTCCCCAGTGGATGAAGATTCCAAGCTTAGCTTCATCGTACCATGGAGGAAGTGGGCGGGAATCTATGGAAGCCCAGTTGGGTTCATAGCGAACTTCTGGAGTTTTCTTGTTGTGTAAAGAACTTCCTTGAATAGTTACAAGGATGGTTAGGACAACTGTACCAGCCAGCCAGACAGCCATCTTGACAGTGATCACATTTACTGTTGTTAAGATATGACAGTGACTGTTATCATTTCTAGATATGTTGGTGTTATCTTGGACAAGGTCATGTTGATTTTTGTGTGTGGGTGATATCAACTAACAAACTTAAAAGAGAAAACCCACCACACACAATAAAGCAACGTGCATGAATGAAAATGCTTCTTTCCTTCTGTTTTAGTTGATTTCCGGGAGGGTTTTGAGACATATTGTTTTTGGTTGAGTTTCTCCATATCATGTAGATGTGCCTTTTTGGGGTTTGAACTTTTCTTTCAATTTTATTTTTTCAGTTTCAATGGCAACAAATTTGGAATTGGTCTTTTTGAAGGGTAGGGTTTGTGTTCGAAGCTTAACTCTAAAACCACTTCACCCATCTTCACCGAATTTTGTATACTTAATACCAAAACCAATTATTAGTAAGCTTAGAAGCATCAACCATATATACATGTACTACTATGAAAAATGTATAATATGTATTTTCATGCTTAGAGATTTTGAAATTGAAGGAATCAAATGAATTGTTTGAGGTTCTCAACGTTGAATTGGGGAAGGGGAGACATCTGTTTTTATGAGTGAAAACACTTTCTAGTTGTATTTCTTGTTTTACAGATATTTGTCTAACTTCATTTTTATGTGACAAGATGACATGTTTAGCACTGTGTTGAGGCAACCTTTACTTCACTGATTACTGCTTTGGTCATATTTGCAAGGTATCTGAGCATATTTGTAGGAGAGCCTGGCACCAATGGACTCCTTTCTGATGGGATTAACCCTTTTGGTCATGACTACATTGTGTGCAAGGGTAACACATGTAGTGTTTGGCTAGTCAACTTTGAGAATATTTGAATGTATTCAAGAACTGCTTTCATATCATTTGTGTTTAGGCCAGACCAATTTTATTTCTTGTTTTACAGATTTTGTCGTCAGAAAATCTAAAGGGGGTGAAATCACCTGTCAAAGCAAAAACCCACATGAGTTTCCATGTTAACTCTTTTAGTTTGTTTATATCAACTAAAGATAACTTGAGTGAGTTTAGGTTTAACACTGATTTCAAGATTATTTCACTTATATCACATCAACATTAGGATTTTATTCTTTGAGCAGGGAAAATTAATTTTTTTTTTTTTCTTATTCTTGAAAAAATACGACCGGCAGATCCTGAAAGCAAGAAATAAAATTGGTCTGGCCTAAACACAAATAATATGAAAGCAGTTCTTGAATACATTCAAATATTCTCAAAGTTGACTAGCAAAACGTAATCAATGAGATTTTATTCCATGTCTTTATGGTGCTTAATGAGTATCATTTGTCAAAATTTGTATTTCAATGCACAATTTCTTTTTCAGAATATACTATCAACATTAGCTGCGAAATATATGGAAAATCCTGAAGTCTCTTGCATAAATGATTGACAACTTGAATGCATGAAAGTCAGATCAGGTCAGCTTCATGATATATTATCCTACACTTACTTGTGCTCAAAATGTATGGAGTTAATATTGAATATAAACTTCTTAAGATATGTTAAATGGTCAAAGACAGTATACATTTACACACAAAAATAGTAATATGTAATTATTGTATTATCTAAAAAGCAACAAGCAACTCCACTAATCCCACAGCCAGTATGTTTGCATATCAAAATCCAAGCTTCAGCCAATCTGTTAGCTGTGACCTCATGGTGGAGAGAGTTATGCCATTTTTGTTTCTTTACAACCTATTCATCTACAAGACAACAAAGTTATACTTGGTGTATAATAGATGCAAAATGTGATATAGTGTTGCATAGGGGTGTCCCAGTTCATCAAACAAAAGTTCAAAGTGTATTTTTGGAAGACTTTCTGGCCAAGGAAAGATTCAGTTAGGGTACAGTTGGTGATGCTGCTCAGGACTGTGACAGGGATCTACTACAAGCCAACTCTCCAATATGACAGTTCATTAACTCTGTAGTTTATGGAATATGAGTATTTTAAAATGTTCTTGTCTACAAATGTTTACTTTCAGAAAAAAAGGTTCCTTCTTCAAGATACTTCTTTTGAAATGCTTTATGACTTGGCATCTTAACAGGCTGATACTTTGAAACGGAGTAGAAGTCTGGATAGTTACAACCAGCATCACAGAACACTTATTACTGATGAGGTTAACCTCTTTGGTCATGTCAACAGGTTCCAGGGTGATGTGTAGCAGGGCATTTGGTCAGTCCACACCTTGCTTGCAAGTTAACTTCATTTATATGTGACAAGGTGACATGTTTAGCAGGGTGTTGAGACAGCCTTCACTTTACTGATGACTGCTTTGCTCATACGTATAAGATATCTGAGCATGATGTTTGTAGCTGAGCCTGATGCCAATGCAGTGTTTGCAATTCTTTAATTTGCCAGTTGGCCATCAGGGCCTGCTGCCGCCTGCAGGCTTTAACATCTACAGGCCCTGAATGAAATCTGCAGGCCCATTTTGTTAAAGTCAAACCAATAAACACAAAATAGACTACACTGTACTCAGTTTCACACTGTTTCTACGAAACCAATTAGTGAAGCCTATGGCGCAGAGAGAAGTATTTAGTTGTTAGCGTAAGTTAGCGTAACATGATGGATCATGGATGATTCCCGAACGTTAATAAGGAACAAAATATGGGAAAGATTCAAGTAAAAAATACCCTAACAGATAATTTACTGAAGGCCATAAGGGCCGGCAGTGCCAAATACTTGCCGGCCCTGCAATGTTTTCTACCTAATATTTGGGACTGCTGGCCCGATTCAATAACAACCAGTGCTGGGCCTTTGGGCCGGCGAATATTTCGACTGCTGGCCAATGGGCCCCTTGGGTTAACCCTTTTGGTCATGTCTACACTGTGTGCTTGGGTGACACATATAGCAGAGCATGTTGTCTGTCCACACCTTACTGATGGGGTTAACCCTTTTGGTCATGTCTAAAACATATGGATCAAAATGTTTGTGGTTAAAACCTAAACTCATGAAATGTTCTGCCACACAAGTATGTCATAATTATGTTTTACTATTCTCATGACCCGTGAAGATCCGGGTCAGAATTGGTCTTCAGCAACCAATGCTTGTCTTTGGAGGCGACTAAAGGGATCGGGGGGTCAGGCTTGCTGGCTTGGTTGACACATGCCATCGTATCCCAATTGCATTGATTGATGCTCATGCTGTTGATCACTGGATTAAATGTTAATTCAAGGAAGTCTCTGCATTTACTCCAGACCTTGTGTTGTCATGTCAGGTTTCTAAAGATTAAATATGTGTAATGTTGAACAAACAAACAAAATAGGTATGGTGATCATGTCATTTATGTATATGCAGTTAAGATGCCATTTATTTCATCATCAGAATTGTTTTTTATTTGTAACACACAAAATGTAAGTAACAGCATAAATATCTATTTGGACCCAAAGCACTGTCAGCCATTTCACTACAAAATGTCCATCCCATTAATTGTCAGATATTCTTTTCATTCTATTCTTGTTATGGTCAATTCCATTGTCAACCAAATCTGTATTTGCCCATCCCTTTTGCAATCAGTTATGTCACTATGAAGGCCAATTGACTTGTACAATTGTCTAGCATGTATTGCATTTTCAAGGATACTCCTATTAACTGTCAATTATGCAGCGTTTAAAATTCCCGCCTACCCGACCGTCCAGAACGGTCTATTTTCATCTTGGACGGTCAAATTTCAAAAGTAGCCTGTCCAGTGGTCTGGTAGATATTTTTACCCCTAAGAGTAAATATTTCATAATATCAGACAGGTTCTCGTGTTGTCAGTTTGAGGTGTTTAAGGTGTTATGAAAATTATGTTAAACTATGTACGATTTTAACCTTTTATGTTACAAAAAACAATCATAACACATGTACTTTCAGTTTACCTAAACTCGGTGCATTGCCTGTTAGTGCTATGTAGTTCATTGCGATGCCTACAAACAGTGAATGGAGCTTGCGCGAGTTGGAAATGGCAGCCACAGTTCTTTATTGTTGAAAACCTGGACAGGCAAGTTTGTATCCGGACTGGTAATTTTTAAGTTACCAGTCCAGCTATGTGGCTTGGAATTTTGGGAGTTTTAAACACTGATTTATGTCATTGCGAAGGTCATCCAATTATTGAGCATTTATATAATCGTCAACCATTTATGTCATGGCAAAGACCCATCCCCACTGACATGGCATCTTGTTGACAGGGATGGGAGGGATTGTGATGTTGATTCCTTTGGGTGAAGCATTCTGCCAGGAGAAGGAGCCTTCAGTGTAGCCAAGGAGGCTGATTTTCATTCCAGTTTTTGGCAAAACTGATCCAAGGATGAGTTGACCTGGTTGTGGCCAGTTGAGCACAATGGCGTACACCGTCCCTTCTCTCTGTGTGTACCTGAAGAGAGATCACACTTTGTAATACTGAATGTGTGGGATGTATCATTCTAAGACCAAAGAGGAGACTTACAAATGTTCACAGACTGGGCACATACATGTGTCCAAATCAAGCAATTTCAAGCACAGCCAATGAATAGAACATATAAGGTATCTACCAATCTCCAGGTGTGACTGTGTCATTCTGGGCCACCCAAGGTGTGAAATATAAAAAGTACCTACCAAACTCCTGGTGTGGCCGTGTCATTCTGGGCCACCCAAGGTCTGGTGGAGTAGATGGCCTCTCCATTCACCTTCAGCCATTCTCCCAAATGACGCAGTCTCTCCTCAAAGATGGGTGTAATCATGCCATATTTGGTTGGCCCCACATTGATCAGCATGTTTCCTCCACAGCTGTAAAGGAAAATAACAGTATGAAATGCTGTGATGGCTTCTGTAATTGTGATGCAAAAACTGAGGGTGGAGGCAGGTTCCAGTCCAAGTCTTGATTATGGTTTAAGGTTTGCCGTACCAGATCATGCTTTTGGATTTTGCCAGAGTGCTAAATGTTGAAGACCAACACATCACCAGAGGCTTTCCTTCAATACTACAGTGATATATACATTCAGAAATATGTGTCATTCTTGGCAAAATGTACATTGAGTTTTAGTCTAACCTCACCTCATATTGGCTGATGTGGAAAAGTTGATGTGAGATGCTCCTGTTGTGACTGTGTTATAGAATATACAGCACCTACACAACCTTGCTTCATACCTAAATGGTCTGTTCTATATTGTCCACTTTAGGTTGTGTTACAAAATCATTTTCAAAACCATTTAAGATTCATATGCCTATTTTGAAATAGGCATATGGTGCGTCTTGCAGTCTTGTCATATCATACATTCTCAACAGACAAGACTGATGATTCTCAACTGACACACCTTACATTACCTACAGAAACACTTTATAATGTGAACTTACTGAAATTACATTCTGAATAGACATACCTTGTGTTGACAGGAGGCATTCCTTACATTGTCAGGAGACATACCTTACATTGTCAGGAGACATCCCTTTACATTGTCAGGAGACATACATTGTCAGGAGACATACCTTACATTGTCATGCCTTACATTGTCATGAGACATACCTTACATTGTCAGGAGACATACCTTACATTGTCAGGAGACATCCCTTACATTGTCAGGAGACATACCTTACATTGTCAGGAGACATACCTTACATTGTCAGGAGACATACTTTACATTGTCATGCCTTACATTGTCAGGAGACATACCTTACATTGTCAGGAGACATACCTTACATTGTCAGGAGACATACCTTACATTGTCAGGAGACATACCTTACATTGTCAGGAGACATACCTTACATTGTCAGGAGACATACCTTACATTGTCAGGAGACATACCTTACATTGTCAGGTGACATACCTTACATTGTCAGGAGACATCCCTTACATTGTCAGAAGACATACCTTACATTGTCAGGTGACATACCTTACATTGTCAGGAGACATACTTTACATTGTCCGGTGACATACCTTACATTGTCAGGACACATCCCTTACATTGTCAGGAGACATCCTTTACATTGTCAGGAGACATACCTTACATTGTCAGGAGACATCCTTTACATTGTCAGGAGACATCCCTTACATTGTCAGGAGACATACCTTACATTGTCAGGAGACATACCTTACATTGTCAGGAGACATACCTTACATTGTCAGGAGACATACCTTACATTGTCAGTGACATACCTTTACATTGTCAGGTGACATACCTTACATTGTCAGGAGACATCCCTTACAGGGAGACATACCTTACATTGTCAGGAGACATACCTTACATTGTCAGGAGACATACCTTACATTGTCAGGAGACATACCTTGCCATTGTCAGGAGACATACCTTACATTGTCAGGAGACATTGTCATTGTCATACCTTACATTGTCAGGAGACATACCTTACATTGTCAGGATACATACCTTACATTGTCAGGAGACATACCTTACATTGTCAGGAGACATACCTTACATTGTCAGGAGACATACCTTACATTGTCCAGTGACATACCTTACATTGTCAGGAGACATACCTTACATTGTCAGGAGACATCCCTTACATTGTCAGGAGACATACCTTACATTGTCAGGAGACATACCTTACATTGTCAGGAGACATACCTTACATTGTCAGGAGACATACCTTACATTGTCAGGAGACATACCTTACATTGTCAGGAGACATACCCTTACATTGTCAGGAGACATCCCTTACATTGTCAGGAGACATCCCTTACATTGTCAGGAGACATACCTTACATTGTCAGGAGACATACCTTACATTGTCAGGAGACATACTTTACATTGTCAGGAGACATACCCTGCCTTACATTGTCAGGAGACATACCTTACATTGTCAGGATACATACCTTACATTGTCAGGAGACATACCTTACATTGTCAGGAGACATACCTTACATTGTCAGGAGACATACCTTACATTGTCAGGGACATCCCTTACATTGTCACATACCTTACATTGTCAGGAGACATACCTTTACATTGTCAGGAGACATACATTGTTAGGAGACATTTTACATTGTCAGGAGACATACCTTACATTGTCAGGAGACATCCTTTACATTGTCAGGAGACATCCCTTACATTGTCAGGAGACATACCTTACATTGTCAGGAGACATACCTTACATTGTCAGGAGACATCCCTTACATTGTCAGGAGACATACCTTACATTGTCAGGAGACATCATCCTTTACATTGTCAGGAGACATACCTTACATTGTCAGCATCCCTTACATTGTCAGGAGACATACCTTACATTGTCAGGAGACATACCTTACATTGTCAGGAGACATCCCTTACATTGTCAGGAGACATACCTTACATTGTCAGGAGACATACCTTACATTGTCAGGAGACATACCTTACATTGTCAGGTGACATACCTTACATTGTCAGGGTCAGGGAGACATACCTTACATTGTCAGGAGACATACCTTTACCATCCCTACATTGTCAGGAGACATACCTTACATTGTCAGGAGACATACCTTACATTGTCAGGAGACATCCCTTACATTGTCAGGAGACATACATTGTCATGGAGACCTTACATTGTCAGGAGACATACCTTACATTGTCAGGAGACATACCTTACATTGTCAGGAGACATACCTTACATTGTCAGGAGACATACCTTACATTGTCAGGAGACATACTTTACATTGTCAGGTGACATACCTTACATTGTCAGGTGATATACCTAACATTGTCAGGAGACATTCCTTACATTGTCAGGAGACATACCTTACATTGTCAGGATACATACCTTACATTGTCAGGAGACATACCTTACATTGTCAGGAGACATACCTTACATTGTCAGGAGACATACCTTACATTGTCAGGAGACATACTTTACATTGTCAGGAGACATACCTTACATTGTCAGGAGACATACCTACACATTGTCAGGAGACATACCTTACATTGTCAGGAGACATACCTTACATTGTCAGGAGACATACCTTACATTGTCAGGGGAGACATACCTTACATTGTCAGGAGACATACCTTACATTGTCAGGAGACATACCTTACATCAGGAGACATACCTTACATTGTCAGGAGACATACCTTACATTGTCAGGAGACATACCTTACATTGTCAGGAGACATACCTTACATTGTCAGGAGACATACCTTACATTGTCAGGAGACATACCTTACATTGTCAGGAGACATACCTTACATTGTCAGGAGACATACCTTTACATTGTCAGGAGACATACCTCTTTACATTGTCAGGAGACATACCTTACATTGTCAGGAGACATACCTTACTTTACATTGTCAGGAGACATCCCTTACATTGTCAGGAGACATACCTTACATTGTCAGGAGACATACCTTACATTGTCAGGAGACATCCCTTACATTGTCAGGAGACATACCTTACATTGTCAGGAGACATACCTTACATTGTCAGGAGACATACTTTACATTGTCAGGACATACCTTACATTGTCAGGAGACATACCTTACATTGTCAGGAGACATACCTTACATTGTCAGGAGACATACCTTACATTGTCAGGAGACATACCTTACATTGTCAGGATACATACCTTACATTGTCAGGAGACATACCTTACATTGTCAGGAGACATACCTTACATTGTCAGGAGACATACTTTACATTGTCAGGAGACATACCTTACATTGTCAGGTGACATACCTTACATTGTCAGGAGACATACCTTACATTGTCAGGAGACATACCTTACATTGTCAGGAGACATACCTTACATTGTCAGGAGACATACCTTTACATTGTCAGGAGACATACCTTACATTGTCAGGAGACATACCTTACATTGTCAGGAGACATACCTTACATTGTCAGGAGCAAACTTTACATTGTCCGGTGACATACCTTACATTGTCAGGAGACATACCTTACATTGTCAGGAGACATACCTTACATTGTCAGGAGACATACCTTACATTGTCAGGAGACATACTTTACATTGTCAGGAGACATACCTTACATTGTCAGGAGACATACCTTACATTGTCAGGACACATCCCTTACATTGTCAGGAGACATACCTTACATTGTCAGGACACATCCCTTACATTGTCAGGAGACATACTTTACATTGTCCGGTGACATACCATACATTGTCAGGAGACATCCCTTACATTGTCAGGACACATCCCTTACATTGTCTATCTACTCCCGACTCACACTGGATACACAATTCCTTTTAAAGTTCTCATAAAAATCTGTACTTTGAGACGTAGGCAACCAGGGTTAAGGGTTGTTAACAACATTGTGAACTATTAAAAAGGTCAAAATAGTATTTGACTGTCGTCAGAGGCTACTGAATTAACAGCATGGGATATTGCTCATAATATCAAACACTTGTCCTGTGTGGCACACATTTATTTCTATCACCACAGTTTTACTGTGACAGTTAGATGCATGCATCTGTCCGTTTTTGTGTGCTCACCTGACCGTTTCAGCCAGCACTGCTATAACTTCGTCCATGGTCAGATAATCTTCCAGGGAAGCCTCTCGACGAAATCCCCATGATCTTTTGTCAAGTGTCATCGCATTCTCCCACTTCCTTGGCTGAAGTACTCCTATAGCATATAGTTTGTAGTCAACTAGTCATGTTATTCTGAATCTAAGGTGATTTGATGAAATATTTTAACTTCAGAAATTACTAACTTGGTTATAAGTTCTCTTCTGGTAAAATATTGTATTTATTACCTGGGTTGTACCTGTCTGCACATGTCAAGAACCCGCCATGATGACATGCGTCTCCAATTCCCCATCTGTCGTTGGTGACAACTGTGTCCTTAACTGGGCTGCAAAGAGAAGACTGAAGCATGCAACTTTGTATACATGACTGTAACATGTTGAGGTGATGTGTACTGTCATCTTGACTCCCAGTTCCAGTGATCTGTCCAAAAGTAGAAGCCAGTATCACTGACATTGTAAGAACCACCTAAATGCCCACATTATAAAAGATACAGACAATGGTGAGAAAACCTGGAGGGAGAGATACAGAATAAATTTAGTTGTATAAACCATTCTTCATAACTTTTCCACCTACTGTATATTAACATAGATAAGCCAAATTTTGAAGACCCAAAAAGCAGTCTGCAGAAGGGGGTCGGCTTATCTGCAGGTTACACTTTCATCAAACTTTTTTTCAGGGGGTAAGAAAACGACATTGTATCGCTTTGCAAACGAACAAGAGAAGACGACTTTGTGAGTAAAGACATAAAATTTGCAATTAAACATTACAAGGCAAGATTATTTACCTTTTCAGTGCTAAGTTGTTTTAGCAAGGCATTGTCTTATATGCAGGGAGTAACATTACTGTGTGTATATGTCTCATATACAGAGCCTGTCATTTCTTTGCTATTACCCGAGGAATATTTTTCAACAGGCTCCACAAACACCTTGACCAACTAGACAAGTGCAAATGGAAGGTTTTTCAAAACAGGATTTTTTATAAGTATTATTCAGGGTGACCAGTCAATACATTTACTGCTGGTCTTGACATTAAAAGAACGGGAAACATATATTTGCTGAATATGATCAATGTAATGAAGTAAAAACTTTATCTGATATACATTTTGGCACTGAATGATTGGCTACCAGCTCTGCCATGTCAGTTGTTTAATATCTACAATTTTCGTCCACCTTAACCTTGGTATACCTGTCATTGTACAGCCAGGCAAGGAACTCCTGTGAAGTCCAGTAAGTGTCTGGGGCCTCCCAATCTCCATCAGACCAAACAACGTCAGGCTTGTAGGTGTTCACAAGTTCATGCAACTCAGGAATAGTCTTTTCCTGAAATTGATTTGATTTACATTGATATAATGTTATGACAATAAGTTTAATGCTCCAGATCAGTTCTAGATAAGCTCTGCAGGACAGAAATAATGAATTCACTTAATAGGAAATATATTAAAAAATAAAGTGACTGTGAAAAATGCCTTGAGTTTCTTGGATGTCTGAAGCACCATCAGTATTTTGATCAGTCAGTGAGTTGCTTGTACCCCAGTCAGTATCAGCTGTTGTTACAGGATGTCTGCTATGTACTACAAACTGTATCCTTTCCCAGAGGAGTGAGAATGGTTATCTGCCATAAGATATATCATAGAAGGGTACTCTAGAAATGGACTTAACACACTGTCCCCAACTCATCACTGATGATCTCAACTTACCAACTCACACTTTCTCACCAACCAGATCACGATCATGATTACTAACTCATGTAAATTATCTTCTAAGAATAAGAAGTTAACATCTATGGACATGACGACACACAGTGACAGGGTTGATTAGCTGCCCTGATCCAACTCCCATCATATAACAGCATGTAGCCTACCTATACTATACCTCTCAATCCATCAAATATGTTTATACTGAAGCTCACCTCAACAAATCTGCCGGTGGTGTAGTTGTTGGCCTTGTCCTGTAGATACAGAGGGTGGAACCACTCAAAAAGGGAGTGGTACAGGCCAAAGTGGAGGTCTGTCTTGCTGCGGATGGCCTGGGCCAGCTCACCTGGCAACAAATGTATTCATTAGTAAATTAGTCTGTTTGATGTTTAATGCTACAGTCAACACTACACCAATATGACACCTGTATTAACAATCAAATCTGGACCTGGCAATGCAATTTATATTGTGGACTTTTCTCAATACAATGAGGTCTCTGAACATTACTGAGTCTGGTCATCTGATTCAATATTAATAAATCAATCAATATCTATTTCCGTACTCAGGAGGCCTCAGGCCTATAGTACAAATACAGTGAACAATTGATCAGTTAGTAGAATCTTTGAGAATGTAATTTTTACTGTATATGGTAGCGTAATAGATATACATAGATAATCTTTCTAAATATACTTTACTAGAATTGGTTAAAAGGGATATGAATTTGTAAATGTACACAATAGTAGCTCTTAATATACTTAATTATGTCATAAACGTTCCAATAAACGTAAACAATACCTGTAATTGTTCCTATTTCTCAACAAATAATAGGCTGGACATATACAAAGGAAATGGTACTCATCTTCAATTACATTCAGATTACACATTTTACATATCCTATGTTCTTTTATTAAGCCTAAATACCTACCAGATTCTATTAGCAAATCATGAGATGAACAGTGCTTATTCTAAATTTTCTTACATTTAACACAGACAGATACTCTTCTTTGTGGATAGATTGTTTAATAATTTTATCTCTTCCTAATATATCCCTTTCTAATGACCAGACAAGGTTGTTGGGAACCTGGAAATCTACCATAGATTCCTCATATGACAGCTCATCACACTGACCACTTCATCCACAGAAGGTTGAGTGCATGGCAGATACCTGCACTGACTAACTGTATCCACTGGAATATATAGCGTATAGTGTCTTACCCACAATGTCTCTTTTTGGTCCTACCATCTGGGAGTTCCAGTTGAAGGAGACATTGGTTGGCCAGTTGCAGAAACCTTCATGATGCTTGCTTACAAATACAATATACCTGCAACAAACAATCATGGTGTTAAATGGTGGAATGGTCTGGCTGATGCACTAAACAATGAATGTGCAAAAGTCAAAGAGTGTAAATTGATAAAACAATACAGACTTTGTAGTTTTCAAAAGGGTTTAAAGTCTTGCTTTTTGACATTTATTTAACAGGAATAGACAAACTGTCATGGTATTAAATGGTGGAATGTTCAGGCTAGTCATCTAATGCACAGAAGACAAAATGATCTCATACTTAGCTCCAGAGTCTGCAAATAGTTCCGCCCATGTGTTGGCATCATAGAATTCAGCTGTAAAATCTTTAGCAAAATCTGCATAGGTCCAGTCTGGTCTGTAGTTGTTCTTCACTAAGTCAATGTAGGCAGTTATGTTCTTCCCCTGCCAGCGTTCCCAGAACCACTCAGAACCAAAACTTGGTACTGAGAACACTCCCCAATGGATGAAGATTCCAATTTTAGCTTCATCGTACCATGATGGAAGGGGACGGGAATCTAGGGACTCCCATGTTGGGTCGTAGCGGAGTTCTGGAGTTGCTTCATTTGCTTGGATAGTTACAAGGATGGTGAGAAAAAGAGCACCAGCCTGAAGGACAGCCATTTCTAAAGTGGTGAGATGAATTGCTGTTATGCGATAACTGTTAATGTTATCAATCTGGAACGAGGTTATGATGCTGATAATTTTTTTTGTGTGTGTGATATGGTCATGTGACTTGATTGAGAATGCATACTATATCTATCCTTGACATACAATAAAGTAGCATGCACATATACATATCTTGACATTTCTATCTTTATTTTTAGTTTAGTTTTAATTTCTTTCTTGGTATTTTGTATTATTGAAATTAAAAAAATATCTTGCATTGTACAAATGAACATGCCAAATGTCATTTAATGTTGTTTCCAATAAGGTTTGATACACTGTACTTCTAATATATCCTGTTACCTTATTGAAACACGGGTTACTAAATATTCTGTAAACTGTTTATTTCAGTGTTTGTTAAATAAACAAACAAAATTTAGACCAAAGATTCCTGCTTCTTGATTGGTTGATGGTAGAAGAGGCGGTGCTTTATGTAATTGAGAGAAGGTATTATTGTTGTAGTCATATCTATATGTGTGACTGAGATCAATAGGCTTTTGCTTATATGGAGCATAGATGTTAAAAAAATGGTGTGTTTGCACATGGCATATAATGGTTGGAGGATGTTCATGGGATGTACAAAATATTTTTAACACTTAGCTCCATAAACACAACCCCATTGAATTTAGTGCTTGAATATATTCTTGTTTTTACATCTCACATGTGTAGGAGGGCATTTGGTCAGCCCACACCTTGCTCACCAGGTAACCTCCTCCTTCATGTGACAAGGTGTCCCACTGTGACATGTGTAGCTGGGTGTTGGTCCAGTCTTCACCGTACTGATGAATTTCTTTGTCATATTTATGACATGTGACCATGACATGTGTAGCTGAGAATGGTGTCATAGGAACGTTTTGGTGAGGTTGGTCTACAATGTGTCTGAGGCAATATATAGCAGGGCGAGTATTCAACCTACACTTTACTTATTGGAATGAGCCTCTTTGGTCACCACAAGTTATGTGTGGTTCGGCAAATAGTCAGCCCATCAGGTTAAGCTCTCTGGTACTACTTTAAACAAATTTTACTTTGGGTCAGAAGGTTTGTGGTTCAAATCCCTTCACATGGCCCAATTGTATTTCCACTGAACACATATATCAAACTCATCATGTGATTGGCATCATTCATGATTGTGTGTGTTAAATCAAACCGTGTTGAATAAACAAAGTAGGTATTGTGATCATAATGTTTATATATATGCTGTCAAGTTAACATTAGAAAGAAATATTTTCATAACACATGAAATGTAAACTAAATAACAAAAATGGTGACTTGTACCTATTCCATTGTAAAACAATTTCATTGTGAAAGTCTATCCCATTTATTGTAAAAAAGATGTGTCCTTGTGAAGGACTATTCTATTGTCGACCATTTATGTCCTTGCAAATACCCATCCTCTTGTCGACCATTTATGCCATTGCGAAGACCCATGCCCACTGACATGGCATCTGGTTGACAGGGATGGGAGGGATTGTGATGCTGATTCCTTTGGGTGAAGCATTCTGCCAGGAGAAGGAGCCTTCAGTGTAGCCAAGGAGGTTGACTTTCATTCCAGTTTTTGGCAAAGCTGATCCAAGGATGAGTTGACCTGGTTGTGGCCATTTTAGGACAATGGCGTACACCGTCCCAGCTCTCTGTGTGTACCTGAAGAGAGATCACACATATCAACTTAAATCAAAGTAACCATACATGAGTAATAACACTACCCTTGGTTCACTATTCTGTTTACAGTGAAAGTGTAATTTGCACTGATTGTCATGCCAATTTAAGGTTTATTATGGGGCACATACACCAATTACTTACCTATTGCCTAATATGGCAAAAATTGCACCAACAAAGATGCATATTTTGGCCATTTGGCTAAGTCCTGCCAGTGGCTTTGTTGCCATATGTCTATATTAGAATTGTGATAGTCTTTGTGATTTGATTAGATCTGCCCCTACACCGTGATATATATTAAGAGGTTATATATCATGACAGTTTTCCTTTTGCCAGTCATATATGACATGGTAATCAAGGCCTGATATGACTGGCGAAAGGGAAACTGTCATATCATAACCTTTTTTTCAGTCAAGAAACGATAACAAAAAATAGTAAACTGTTTATTCATAACAATAACAATGGAATACTCCAACACCAATTGTAATGCCAACTACCATTTCTTGATGGACGGCAACTCGAGCAGACCGTGCAAAGGACGTAACTCTAAAATAAACAAGGCTCCGTCTATTCAAGTTTCGACCGTTTCCGTGTATTCATTCTGTACCAGTTTAGTAGCCGGGCAATATGGCTGATATGCATATTCAGCCCAGGTGGTCAATATGGCCATGTGCCGACAGCCAGTATTGTATGTGCAGAATGGTCCATATTATTCATAGGTATGTCATAGATTTGGATGTAAGATTTTCAGTTTCACTTGTTCTGGGTCAAATCTTTTACCTCTCCAGTTATTTGTCAAGGTGTGGAATATATATAGTACCTACCAAACTCCTGGTGTGACTGTGTCATTCTGTGCCACCCAAGGTTTGGATGCATAGATGGCATCTCCATTCACCTTCAGCCATTCTCCCAAAAGACGCAGTCTCTCTTCATAGATTGGACTGATCATGCCATATTTGGTTGGCCCCACATTGATCAGCATGTTTCCTCCACAGCTGTAAAGGAAACTATCAGTATGAAACACTAATTATGATGGAATAGTGAGGTTAACCTGTGTTAAGTGTCCTGAACAGTAGTGACCTGGGTTAAGTGTCCTGAACAGTAGTGACCTGGGTTAAGTGTCCTGAACAGTGGTGACCTGGGTTAAGGGCCCTGAACAGTGGTGACCTGGGTTAAGGGCCCTGAACAATGTGACCTAGGTTAAGGTCCTGAACAGTTGAAGTGTCCCTGAACAGTGGTGACCTGGGTTAAGTGTCCTGAACAGTGGTGAACGTGGGTTAAGTGTCCTGAACAGTGGTGACCTGGGTTAAGGGCCCTGAACAGTGGTGACCTGGGTTAAGTGTCCTGAACAGTGGTGACCTGGGTTAAGTGCCCTGAACAGTGGTGACCTGGGTTAAGTGTCCTGAACAGTGGTGACCTAGGTTAAGTGTCCTGAACAGTACCTGAGGTTAAGTGTCCTGAACAGAGGTGACCAGGTTAAGGGTCCTGAACAGTGGTGACCTAGGTTAACCTCCTGAACAGTGGTGACCTGGTTTAAGGGTCCTGAACAGTGGTGACCTGGGTTAAGGGCCCTGAACAGTGAGGACCTGGGTTAAGTGTCCTGAACAGTGATGACCTGGGTTAAGTGTCCTGAACAGTGGTGACCTAGGTTAAGTGTCCTGAACAGTGGTGACCTGGGTTAAGTGTCCTGAACAGTGGTGACCTGGGTTAAGGGTCCTGAACACTGGTGAAGTGGGTTGAGTGCTGAACAGTGATAACCTGGGATATCTATCTTTCTATTGCTACAGATTCAGTGTACACACCTAACAGTTTCAGACAGTACTGCTATAATGTCTTCCATGGACAGAAAGTCACTTCTGCCACTTGCCTTAACACCTCAACCTGTAAATGATAAATAATATGAACCGGTTGGACCCTTGTACAAATAAATAGAGATACTGGGATTGAAATCTCATATACCTTACAGTTTCAGCAAAGGTTCCAATAATATCCTCCATGGTGAGAAAGTCTTCCAGGGCAGCCTCTCGACGAAATCCCCAAGATTTCTTATCAATTGTCATCGCATTCTCCCACTTTCTTGGCTGAAGTACTCCTGTAGCATATATGAAGAATAAGTTGTCATGACCCAATTGTTCTTATATGTCAGTATTACAGTATTTGAAGTAGTCATATTATCCTGAATTTAAGGTGATGTTTTGTCATCAAGGATTTTGTCATCAGTGGAAGGAAGCCCTTTCCAGTGTTTACAGTGTTCACTTGGTTGAGAATAAACTGGATTGTCTGGTCCAGACATAAGTGCGCGAAACTCCCTTTTTTTTTTTTATGTTTGAGGCTAATATACTTGCTCAAAGCAGTGTAAAACGATCCTCTTGTAAGATATTTTAGTTTCGTACCTGGATTGTACCTGTCATGGCATGTCAAGAACCCTCCATGTTCACAATGGTCCCCATATCCCCATCTGTCATTGGTGACGACTATCTCCTTCACTGGGCTGCAAAGAGAAGATATTCAGGATCCTAGACTAGACCATGACTAGAGCATGTTGTTCTGATGGGTATTGTTGTTTGCATTTCATTTGCCCTCAGTATGAAAATAGGAAAATTACTGCATCGTCAGTGTCATTTCATACTGCAAAAGGTGTCCTGACAATGTTCTAAATATGCCATGAGTGCAACGATTTCTGTTTTTAGCGAATTTACACAAAGACATAGACTAACAACTAATTCTAAACCCATTTAAATTGAGAAGAAGCCAGAGATTCAGAACCTGAACCTGAGGAAATCTAGACTTGTTTCATGTAAGGCTTTAACATTGCAGGGAGGGCTAGGCTGTAGGGAAAATGATATGGTTCAGGGACTGTGAGACAGACTATCAAAGACACAAAGTAAAAGGGTACAACGCAACCGTGTACCTGTCATTGTAGAGCCAGGCCAGAAACTCCCTGGACCCCCAGTAGTTATCTGTTGCCTCCCAGTCTCCATCAGACCACACAATGTCAGGCTTGTAGGTGTTCACAAGCTCATACAGCTCAGGAATAGTCTTTTCCTGAAATTGAATTCATTTTCATAGCGAAGGTTCAATGGCCCAGTCTGCTTTCAGATTAGCACTGCATGAAAGAAATAATGCATTCCATGAACCAGGTGAAAAATGAAATGACTAGAAACATGGACTCTCTTCTCTTTCATGGATGCATGAAGAACTGTGATGATGCTCGATGATGTCAGTGAGTTGTTTACACCCCAGTAAGTATCAGCTGTTGTAACAGGAAGTCTTCTATGTACTACAAACTTTAACCTTTCCCAGGAGTATGGCTATTTGATATATCATGGAAGT